TTTTTTTTTTTTTTTTTGGTACCAGGGATCGAACTTGGGTCCTTGCGCTTGTGCAGCAGCCGGCAAAACCACTAACCAAAACCCTGGCCCACTTACATAGAACTTTAAAAACATTTCTGAATGCTTTTCATATCTGTTATTACCCATTCTAAGGTTGGGGGGGGGCACCTCTTTTCTCATTTCATAGACAAGAAAGTTAAGACACACACATTTAGTGAATGGACAGGGTGAAGAGCCGGGCCTTCTGACATAACTACACATTTTAAATTTTGTTTCTTGACTAATGACTTTTAGAAAAGTTTACTTTTACTCTGTCTTCTCTTAAAAAGGATTTAAGGTAAGATTTTAAGTATAAGCTATACTTGCTATGCTTAGGCATGAAGAAACCCATAAATTGTGTTTTCCTTTTTGTTGTTGTTGTGTTGTTATTGTTGTTGTTGTTGCAGTATTAGGCATTGAACCCAGGGCTTTGCAACTGAGCTACATCCCCAGCCCTTTTTGCTTTTTAATTTTGAGACAGGGTCTCACTAAATTGCTGCGTTTCCCAGGCTGAGCTTGAACTTTGATTCTCCTGTCCCAGCCTCCCAGAGTGCCAGGATTATGGTGTGCAGCACGCCCAGTTTGTTTTCCTTTTCTGTTGTCTTGTTTTGTGATGTTGGGAATCAAACCCAGAGTTTTGGGGATGACTTGTGAGCACCCTACCACTGAGCTATACCCAGCCTGTAACCATATTTCACTGACATAGAACTTCTTGGCATTCTGGGCAGGCCAATAGCCACAGTCAGTGAAGTGTTAGCTCCTAGACACGCCAGCCTGTAGAAGGCACTGGCAAGGTTCAGGCAGTGCTGCCATAATTGCATGTAGTGATTTATTAGAATGAATAGGTTAAAGAGCTTTTCAATAAAAACGTCTAGTTTTCTTGAATCCCATTTCCCCTTGCTTATTTCATAAAAGCTGCTTCCAGTGAGAGTAGCCTCATAGTTACTAGTTTTTAAGTGCTGCTTCCTGGAGTCACTTGGTGGCTGGTTTGTGCGTGCGTGTGTGTGTGTGTGTGTGTGTGTGTACATTGTGTACATTTGCGTGCACGCATGTGGTACGTGGGATTGAACCCGTAGCTTTGCACATGGTAGGCAGATGAGGCAGGTGTTCTACCACCAAGCCACATCTCCAGCCCTTAAATGAACTTTTCTGGGACCCAAGCATACAGAGTCAGACTCTGGAAGGCAGTGGAAATTCTTGAGTTGATTTCCTCTGCCACCGAGGTTGGGTTAGTTCCAGGGGAACCAGTGGATTTCATAGCCTTCTTTCCTATCTGCCCGTTTCCATGAAGGAAGCAGCAGGGAGGTAGGATGTCCTGAATGAAGGGAGGCTTTATTTTGAAATTGTCCACTCATTGATCCCTGAAGCAAAGTCACTGGTTAAAGGCAAGCTTGTGTGGCTGAGAGGAAGCTGGCGTGCGGCCCATGCTGAGTACGTCTCTGCTGTGTCTCTGCAGCATCAGACCCTGATGGAAGAGCTAAATCGAAGCAAGAAGGACTTTGAAACAATCATCCAAGCAAAGAACAAAGAGCTGGAGCAGACCAAGGTACTGGAAAGAAGATGGAGGTTTAGACTTTGGGTAGTATGTGTGACTCAGCATCTTCAACAGCGTGAGGTTGCTGTGGTGAACAAAGAGCGAGATTGTGGCTGCTCCTTGCCTCAGGGGAAATAACCTGTACAATTACTCAAGGCCAGAGAGGTTCTGCCTGAGAGTAACATCTATTTCCTTCCCCTGTTGAGAATCAGTGCTGGGAGTGAGGCACCTGTGTCCTGTGCTCCGACCCTTTGTCTTTGGTGGACGCTTCTTCAGATGACCTGATACAGACTAAGGAGTATTGCAAAGTAGAAATAGTTCCTCTCAGTGTGTTTATGTAATTTTTTCCCCTCTCACACCAGAAGAACCCTTATACACATGACTGCCTGCCAGGGTCAGACCAGTAATAAAAGGGGTGGCGGGGCCAGTGGAGGGAGGAGCACTGTGGTCCCACCTCTAGCTTTTCCCTGCTTCATCAGAAAGGTGGGCTGGTGTTGTCAGGTCTTACGATTTTTCCATAGCACATGGAAGTCCTAGCAGAGGGGAATTTTTTTTTTTTTTTTGGTACCAGGAATCGAACTTGGGACCTTGTGCCTGCAAGGCAGGCAGCAGAACCACTGAGCTAAATCCCGGGCCGTAGTCCTGATGTGTGAAATATCCTGGTTTTCAAATATTGACAAGCTCAGTTTTTTAAAAAATTCAAGTGCCACATAGTATGTAAAAAGCATGCACATTCATGGGGTGGCATGTGTTTCAACACATGTATAAGTTCAGTTTTTTGTATGTGTGTTTTTTGTTTGTTTGTTTGGTACTGGGGATTGAACTCAGGACCTTGTGCTTTCTAGGCAGGCGTCGGGGCCACTGAGCTAATCCCCGGCCTTGTGTGTGTTTTTTTAATACCACAAAGGCCAAGTAAACAAGTCTGCAGGGTGGATCCAGGCCACAGGTCAGCAGTTTGTAGGCTCTGACCTGAAATGAAGACCTGAATCTATTTGCTTCTCTCATCCCAGCCTACACTACCTACAGCTGTTGTCCTGTTGTGCATGCATAGTGGCCTTCTCGAGCGACAGGTGGTGTGTGTCTTTGCAGGAAGAAAAGCAGAAGGTGCAAGCACAGAAGGAAGAGGTTCTGAGCCACATGAATGATGTGCTCGAGAATGAGCTCCAGTGCATTATCTGCTCGGAGTACTTCATCGAGGTAATCGAGTACAGGCTTCTCCCTCACACTCTCCAACCCAAGTTCCTTGAGCTCTCCACGCTGCTTTTTCTGAAGGGAAACATCCTGAAGACATCCTTCCAGGAGTTTATTATGGCTATTTGATGTCAAAGTTACCTCTAGAGATGCTCTCTTCTTAGGTTATGTGTAGTTCTTTCCCTTTACTGTCCTTTTTTCTTACTTCTTCTTGAATATTTCTTTAGTAGAATTGACATTTTAGCTACTATAAAGCCTTTATCTGTTTTTAGATTAAGAGGGGGAAAAATGTGGCCACACAGCATTAGAATTGTGAAGTATTAGACAGAGGTTGCTCGATGTAGCTTTTCTTTCTTTACCCTGAAGGGGGATAATGGCATGAGGAGGCTTGCAGTGCCACCTTTAAACTGGGCGGTGCGTGTCATCGATGTGTGGTTACTTTGGGAATTCAGGGGCCAAGTTGAATATATTTCACAGGCTCTGAGGCTCCTTTTGAAAGTGAAGCATTTCTCTCCTAGGCTGCTATTTGTTATCCTGTCGTGTTTTCACACTAGCTGTTTTAGTTTTCATAAATTTCTACCGTTTGTGACCAGTTTGTCTTACCTACAAGTGTTAAGCTGAGGTTGGAGAGTAGGTTCTTAAACTCCTTTGCAGAGGAAAACACACACACTGTCCCTTTTCTTAGGCAGGCTTCAGGGAGGCTGTGTCTCTTCCCCTCTTGAAAGTCTGCCCTGCTCTCTTGGGCAGACCTGTTTCTTTTGCTCTGAATCCACTTCGACGTCAGGTCATAATTTCTCCAACAGATCTAGTTAAGTGATTCCATACTTTGAAGAAGCTCGGTGTTGCTCTGACAGGGCTTATATAGGACGCCAGCAGAGGAAGATGAGGAGAGGAAGGTTGGACAAGGTGGCACACTAGCCACCTCAGTGTCAGCACAGCCTGAAGAGACACACAGCCTCCCTGCCTGGCACTTACCGTGCCGCCCGGCCTGTTCTGCTGGTCACCTTCTAAAAGCTCACCTATTCCGAAAGCAGGAGTGAGGATGTATGAACCTCAGAAAACAGAAGTGTAAGAGAATAGTTTATATTCTTGGGCATGATAAGACCGCTGGCAGAACTCTGGCCAAATCTGAGGATTATGCAGAAGAGCCCCTCAAGGACAAGTTCTGTCTTCAAAGGCATATTTACCATTTACCCACGGATACCATTTCTGAACATATGTAATAGGGTTAGCTAGCCTGTTACAGCTTTTAGTTCCTTTTTCACTCAGCCTCTTTTTTTTTACTTATTGGTAATTGAACCCAGGACCTCACACATGCTAAGTAATCACTCTACAACTGCACTATACCCCAGCACCACACCCAGCCTCTTAGAGGCCTGTTATATTATTTCACTTTTTAAGTCTCTTTAGGGATGATAACGCCTGTTACTCTGAATATTCCATATAAGCTCCCCTTGGTCTGTTAAAATTGAGGTGCTGGTTCAGCATTAGCAGGACGTGAATGTATTTTTCATAAGAGAATTAGGAATATACAATATTTGTACCACAGCATTAACACACTTATCACTTGTATCCAGTGGCATTTGTTTGCAAAGTGATTAACCCACAGCTGGCAGTTGGGGGAATAAAACAGGCAAATCAGCTACCTGGGGCCTGATTCTGACCAAGTCTGTGGTCTTATATGAGCTTAAGACCTCGAAAAAAGGAGGAAATGAATCATTAACAGGAAGCTTCAAATTTTCCAGCTCCAAAATCTCTGGAAGGAATACCCTTGTGAGGCTCCAGATGCAACTGCAGTGACTCGGCTTTGCCCTTGGAAGTTAACTCCTGTTTTAGCTTGGAGAAAGTCAGCATGACAGGTGTGATTTGTGTGTCCTGTTTGCATTGTAGGCTGTCACCTTGAACTGTGCCCACAGCTTTTGCTCCTATTGTATCAGTGAATGGATGAAGCGGAAGATAGAATGCCCCATTTGTCGGAAGGACATCAAGTCCAAAACCCACTCCCTCGTTCTAGACAATTGCATTGATAAAATGGTGGATAATCTGAGCTCAGAAGTGAAAGAACGACGGATTGACCTCATTAGGGAAAGAAAAGGTGAGTGTGTCTGAGAATCTCTACCCCCCAATGAAGGACTTACTTCCAGACTTCAACAGGTTTCACTTATTTTTTGATTGGGGAGTGAGAAAGTCAAATAAATAATAACAACAGCTATTACTGTTTGTGGCACTGTGGCCTCTGGCTGGAGATGGTGGTGCACAGCTGTAATCCTGGCTACTGGGGAGGCTCAGCAGGGATTCAAGGCTAGCCTGACCTTGCCCTCCCAAAAGAAGGTATAGTCAGATGGCTTGCTGTATTGACCTCTAGATGGTTCTGTTGCTCGACGCAGTTTAGTTGCTGTCCGGGTTTTGTAAAAACTTTTGAGTTGGAGCCAGGCATGGTGGCACCTACCTGTAATCCCAGAATCCGGGAGGCTGAGGCAGGAGGATCGCCACAAATTCATGCCCAGCCTGAACTGCATACTGAGGTCTTCTCTTAAAAAAACCAAAAGATGAATCTTGAGTTGAATTGACAATTATGAATAAAATGTGTACAACCCAAAGACTCACATTCGGAGAATGCCTAAAGAAAACACATACAAGTCAAGTCCTATTTATAAGAGTCATAGATGAAGTAGCTAAAGAGTTATAAATGTAATCCTACTGTGCTGTCTTTAAGGACCCTAATGGTTTTACTAAAAAGTCTCCCATCAGAGTTTCGATGGATGGGCTGGGGAGAGGCTGGGTAAGTCTCTGAAATGGACTGCTTTCTTGGAAGTATCTGCTCAGTTAAGAGGCCTTGACACACGTGGACCTGTGCTGTGAAGGGCTGCAGAGTTACTCTGCCTGAGACTTGAACATCTTGGTAGCAAAACTGCAGTATGGGGCTGGGGATTTAGCTCAGTGGTTCCAGCGCTTGCCTCGAAAGCGCATGCTCCCGAGTTCAGTCCCCAGTACCAAAAAAAAAAACTGCAGTGTGTTTTGGAGCAGAGCCCAAGGAAGCTGATGGGTGGGAAGTAGTTGTTGGGTAGGGATGCACTGTGCATGAAAGCAGGGTGGATATGATTCTCCTGGCCAGTCCCTCCGTAGTCCAGTCCCATGCTGCAAGGTGTTGGAGCCATGGAGCTGTGACGTCAGCTGGCTGCACGTCATGGGCCCATCAGGAAAGAACAGGGCACTTGCTGTCCTTGGGGTGCCCCTGGCCACTAGACACCCTTATTCATGTGTGTCTCAGGTTGTACCTTTCTCACATCCAGAGGAGCTGGAAGACCGTAAAGGGCAAACCAAGAAGAGTGGGATCTCTGTCCGCTGCTGCTTTCCCCCCAGCCCTTCAGTGGGTGGCAGCCACTCAGTAAGACCAGGGTTCTGGCTCTGATCTGCTGGCACTGTGGTGTGAAAGCGGCTTCGGGTGTTGAGCAGAGTGGAGACAGTGAGCTCATCACAGCAGGAAGTGTCCCTGAGCCACCTGGGGCCTGGGGCAGGGTGCAGTGGCCTTTGCTCAGTTCTTTGGAACCAGTGTTTCCCACTTCAGAGGCACCTGTGTGCTTTATTTTGTGCTTGGTTTTGCGTCACCACAGAGTTCCACTTCCAAGGGGCCTGTGCTCTGGAAAACTCCCATTGCTTTCCTCTTCACCTCCCATCACCCATAGGGCCACTGCACTAGACATCAGGATGAGGGATAAGCAGGCATTGGCCCAGCCTCATAGCACACGCTGTCCGGCAGAGGAGGCAGACAAGCGAGTGGGTGGTGTGATGTGCTCTCCAGCTGGGGCCCCTTCATTTGACCTGGGTAGGTGGAGATGGGCAGAGAACTGCGGAGGAGGTGCCTGGAACAGCCTTAGAGTGTCCCTAGCAGGGGCTTTCTGAGCAGAAGAAACTGCAAGCAGAGCACAGAGGAACTTGGAAGCAGTGACTTGCCCCACTCCTGCCCTGCTGCCCACATGAGACAGAGCACTTACGTGGTGCAAGACTTGGAGGAGAAGGCCAAGGCTTAGGAAGCATTCCCCAGGCCCTGGTGATGCTTGCATTTTTCTTCCTCTTTCCCTTAGAGGAGTCGTGACCTGGGAATCTGGATTTGTCCAGGGCCAGGTTTTTAGCTTTGAGCTGTAGGGTACCGGGTCTGTGTCGGGGTGGTGACACTGCTGCAGTCTGTGCCCAGCCCACTGTCTACATGCATGGGTTACCAAGTAGCACTGGGACTGGAAAGAAGAGCCTGTGTCCCCATTCGCCTCTGCACCCCTTACACAGAGGTAGTTGTTGAAGTGAACACAGACTCCAAGGGTAAAGAGAGTCGCTCTTGGCTGCTTCAGTACAGGGTGCTACACAGGACAGTAAGCACCTGCCGAGAACAGTTCTGGCAGCTGTCTCGATGTGTGCAGTTAGTGAATGAGTGCACCTTTGAAGTTTTCTCTCGGTGTAGACAGGGCTGCTGAGCCCAAAGATAGGGAAGGACCCGCCTGAGCCAGCATTGGCTGCACTGGGCTGCAGTGGGTTTGGAGAAAATCTTCAGTTCAGAAGCAGCCCTGCTTGCGTATTGGAAACTGGTTTAATCCTTAGAGTGTGCGAATGTTTAAAAAGGACCAAATACAGAAACTGGAAACTAGGACTGGCAAGGGTATATATGCCAGCTTTGACACTTGCCACAGGGCCCAGAGCAGGAACTGCTCTTCCACGCCCTCGGAGGGGACCCCTGTGTGCTCCCATGTCACCCCCAGCGCCCCTGTGAAGTTCCAGGCCCCAGTGGGGGAGGGGCGCCTCGTGACTGTTCACTGATGTCATATAAACTCCGGGGGCCAGAAGACAGAGGTATGAGTGTGCCTGGTCCCCAGGTGGAGAAGATTCTCAGGAGTGAATTCTCAGGTCGAATCATTGATAGGAAGCTTCAAATTTCCTGTTTGAAAGCTTCAGACATTCAGAGACATTCAGAGTTCGGGTCCATGGATAATTGTGACTTTCTGGAATGTTGACATGGGATTTCTTCTGAAGGGAACGAGTGGAGGCCCTTCCCCCGTTTCTGCTGTCCTCATTCGGTAGTAGGCGGTTGCTTCACAGGCATGTTAACACTGTCACTTTCTTTTTTTCCAGTCCTGGGGAGCAGACCCAAGGCCTTGCGCACGTCAGGCAAGTGCTCTACCCCTGAGTTACATCCCCAGCGCCACACTCTTAGTACTTTTGCCTTTCTCTAGCAGTTTCTTTGGGTTCTGTTTAGCAAAAAAAAGGCAAAAGATCTAGAGAGAAGACCACATTGGTTCTTTAGAACAGTGATTTTCAATGTGGGATTTTTCAAACCACAGCCCCAGTTCCCTTGCTGCTCTAGTGTTGGACAGAGCTCACCGGTGTGCTGCTCGGGAAAGGGGCCAGCCACAGCTTCTGTGACTGAGTGCTGAGCATCTGGAGGACCCCCGCTGCACCACCAGCTCCGGTGGAGTGAGAGGAGGGTGCAGATGTGGGGAGGGGCAGCCGGCAGAGTCTCCCTGGAAGCCTTTTCCCCACTGGCCGTCTTCTTTCCGGAAGACAGTCTCACTCAGGGACGGGGACAATCGGAAGAGTGGCTGCAGAAAAGAGCTCGGGGTCACCAGGGGCTTTTAAGGCACGCTGTCCTGTCCTTAGGGAACTGAGGACCCCCCCAGTGACGTGCAGGACATTCTGCCTAAGGGAAAAGGGCTCTCAGCAGGGGTGGGGCGCGTGAGGGCGCCACACGCTTGCGCTCAGGGGTTATGTGTGTAAGTAACACTGTCTAAGATTTTGACTTTCAAAAATGTATGCTTTACAGAATATGGAGGGATAGAAAGTGAACAGAATTATTTTAGAAGATTGTTCTTCTCCATTACCACTCCTTTTCTCTTCCTTTGTCTCCTGCTGTCCTTGCCCCCCGTGTTGTCCTGAGGTGAAGACCAGCACTGGGGGGTCGGCTGGCGTGCAGTCACTGCTGGAGCTGATAGGGCAGTGCCTGCCACCTCCAGCTCGGCCTGCCCAGTGGGAGCAGCCTGAGCCGGGAGACGTGGTCTGACTTGCCCTTTCTCCCTTTGCTCAGGCTGCTGGGGGAAAGAGACTCGGGTGGCAGGGGAGGGAGCGGGGAGGCAGGGGAGGGACGCAGGCTCCTTATTTCTCCTTGTGTTCCTTTCCAAAGCCAAGAGGCTGTCATGAAGACTGCTGTGGTGTCGGAGAGGCTCCGGCACGGGACTCAAGGTGGGCTGGAGGAGTCTGTCCCGCGTGACCTGGCCCATGCGGACGTCACCTGAGAGGCCACGTGGGACCAAGACTGCCCTAGGAGGCCCGGTGTCACGTGTTTTCCTTGGTGGCCCACTGTCCTCACTGGAGCCCCAGCAGGACTCGGCACTGGCTGCTTCAGGGTACTTACCAGACTGCTTCACCACATGCTGAATGGGCTGTTGAGTTCTGTTTGTTTTTTAATTTGTTGTTACTGTTCTTGATATCTCAGAAACACCACTGTTGACTTGTTTTGGACATTAGGGTGTGACCCATAGCTGCCACTGAAGGCAGCCTGTTTTGAGTCTAGCTCACCTCTTTTTTGGGAAAAGAAGATATCATTTCTTGGGAATAAAATACAGAACCTATTGCTTACTCAGCTGGGCTTTGGTGTATTTACCTTCCTTCCCTTCCAGCTCCCAGACAGTCTCCCAAGTAAACACTGGCAGCTCATAGATTACAGCCAAGAAAGTGGATCAGATGATAGACTTCAGAGTGTGCCAGCAGAGAAGTCAAGCCAAGGTCACGGCCACAGCAGGGGGGGCGTTGCATCCCCTGGACTCCGGAGTTGGGCTCTGCTGGCCTGGTGTGGGGTAGGCGGGGGTCCCTTCCTTCAGCTGGAGTGGTGAAGACTGCCAGACCTCTGCCCGTGTCCTCAGCACATGGACAGTGATTGAGAGTGCTGTGTGCTGGCTTTCTTTCCTTTTGTTTGTTTGTTTTTTAATTAAAAATTGTCTCTCTGTAACCCATTTCCCCTTTTTAAATAAAAAGAAAGCTTTGATATTTGGGAGATAGAAGCTTAGGACAACCTGTGGTATCCTTGGTTACCAGTGATGAGAATGAGGGAAAACACAGGACTTTGAAGAGTGGTCATTTGAAACACAGAGCCCTCCAGTAGGATTGTGGGACTGTGACTTACATTGTTGTTGTTTTTTTTTTGGTACCGGGGATCGAACTCAGGTCCTTGCGCTTGCGCAGCAGGCGGTAAAACCACTGAGCTAAATCCCTGGCCCTATGACTTACATTGTTAAAGATATGCTTCTCTCCCTTCTTACTGTCTAGAGAACCATTCCTTGTGTGTGCCTGCCTGTGTGTGTGTGTGTGTGTGTGTGTGTGTGTTTTACTGGGGATTGAACCTAGGGCCTCCCTCATGCTAAGCTCACACTCTACCACTGAGGTACATCCTTTTTCTTTTCTTTTTTGGTACGAGGGATCGAACTCAGGACCTTGTGCTTGCCAGGCAGGCGGCGGAACCACTGAGCTAAATCCCCGGCCCTCTTTTTGTTTTCTTTTAAGACTGGTTGGCTGAGTTGCCCAGGGTATCCTCAAATTTATAATCCTCCTTCCTTAGCCTCCTAAGTAGCTGGGATCACAGGTGTGCGTGGGTTCTTTATACTCCATGTGTTTTCATAAAGGCTTGGAAACTATTGATTTAGGAACATTTAAGAGATGGCAGGAGTTTTGTGTATTTTTTTTTTTTTTTAGTATACTCTGACTACTCTTGATTCTGAAGTCCTTAGTCTTCATTTCTGCCTTCTCTCCGTAATTACTGATTGAAAGAAATACTGGTAGAGGGCATGCAGCTCAGTTCTAGAGCACTTGTCTAACATGCTTGTGTGTTCATTCCCCAGCACTGAAAAGAAAAATACTAGTAGAGGAGGAGGAGGAAGTAAGGTTAAACATAGAAAATTTACGTTTAAAATATTATTATAACCACTTTATAAAAACTGTGAAATAGAGAACAGAAGGAAAAGATTGGAGTCCTTGGGGTGGGCTCCCAGGCACAGGCCGGGCAGTGCGGGTGCCTCGGCAGGCGGCAGGGTGCGGGAGAGGCCACAGTGCCGTGGGCCTCAGGGCCGTAGGAGTCCTGGTCCTGGGAGTCCGACGGCCTGGTCCTTCCGCTGGGCTGATGGACAGCGAAGATCTCACAGAGACCCACTGCCTGAGGAAGATTCGGAAAAGAAGAGAGGCAGAGATCCAGGAGCACTGGTTCTGCAGGTGGGAGCAGCAGTGCCTGGCCAAGGCCGAGCAGGACCAGCAGCTGCTCCCCAAGCTGCAGGAGGAAGCAGCACAAACCCAGAAGCCGCCGCAGCAGGCCGGCCCTACAGAGTGTGTCAGCACCCAGGACTTTCTCTCTGTTCCCTTCCAAATCGTAGTCACCTCTGTTGGCAACCTCAGCAAAGAAGCTGTGGATCCCCATCAGCACAGTTTTGATATTGGAATTCAGATCAGCTATCAGCGATGCGGTAAGGATGTGTTGGCTGGATTAAAAAATGCAGAACTATAGGCAGAGAAGATGGATTGGCTTCCTGTGTGGAAAGGCTCCTCCACCAGGAAACTAGAGGCCCCGGAAGACTGACTGTGGGGCTCCTTAGCCCAGCCGGCTACTTCAGCGGAGACTTGATTTGCAGCCCTTCTGGGAAATCATAGTTCCTCCCAGTAAAGCCGTTTAAACAAATTTCTTGGGAAAAATGGTTGAGTGTGCTCATGGACTCATTTTCATGTTTAGGCATAGGTCCAGATATATTGTCTGCTTTTTGTCTATTATAGCAAACACTTGTTCTAGAAATGTTCGAACTAGAATGTAAGCTAAGGACATACAGGCAGTTTTTAACTCAGCTAGGCCATCCTAAAAATGTTTTTAGGAAATTAGTTCAAACATATTGGTGTTACAGTAACAATCTTTCTGCAACATTGACTAGAATTTGTTGCTTTACTTTATATGATGTACATGTTCTCTTACCCTTCTGAGTTAAGGAAGTTCTCCTGTCCTAAGAATTCTGTTAAATTTATTGTTGCTTAGAGAGCCAGATCCATGGCAGGTAAGGCAGGTCCTCATTGGGTTAGTTCTCACAGGAACTGGAAGCCGCCTGTGGCACCCTTGCTCAGGGGTAGAGGACAGGTAGGGGTCCATTTTCCTGTTGTCTGCTGACCTCCAGGTCCTCCTTGCTTTGCTAGGATGGTCACAGGTGCAGCTCGTGGGCAGCCCCGTCACTGCCTCCCCAGGCCAGACCTGTGAGAGGCACTGATTGTTGGCAAGGGGCCTTGGTGTTAAGGGAAAGCCTGGGGAGCACTGTTGGCGTCTAGGTCTGTTGCTGCTTGCTGTTCTCTGGGAGAGTCATTCTCTGTATGACCACGTGCAATCCTGCCTGCCACTAAACAAAGCGTCGAAGTAGTAAGGCTTGAAACATGAGTCAAACATGACTAAGCAAGAAGTAACTAGTGAGTTAGTGGATTAGATCATGAATTGTGTTAAAGTACCTTTCTGGGCCATCCAGTAGGTCATCTAAAACAAAGTTAACCTGGTAATAAAAATAATGTGGCAGATATACAGTAAGTCCCTGACTTATGAGCAGATTCCATTCTGGGAGAACATTTGTAGATCAGATTTGTTTGTAAGAGTGACAAAGTGAGTCTTACACACCTATGACACAAATATGCAACGTCAAGCATTAAAAACCACACAAAAATACTATCAACTTATTTTACAGTATTTTCACTTTGTTTCCATGGTCATTGCTTTGTGCTTCCTAGGGGTCCCCTCTGCATCGCCCCTGCTTTTCCTCTTGCTTCCGGACATCCTGGGCTCTGAGCACTGTACAGTAAGCGCACAGCAGCACAACTGTGACAGCGTCTGGCAGACAGGTGAGCTACTTCTGAGATTGGTTCGCATCTACGAATGTTTGTGATGCGAGGTCCGTTTGTATCTGTCTCAAAGTTCTCAACTCAGATGTCCGTAAGTTGGGGACTCACTGTGTATGTAGCCTTTTGTATCATTGAAACTTTAATGCCTGTAGAGATTCTTACTGTCTTTCGACGTACCTTGATTCTTTCCTATACTCCTAAATCAACATGGAATTAGAGGGCCGGGGATTTAGCTCAGTGGTTCCACTGCCTGCTTCACAAGCACAAGGTCCCGAGTTCAATCCCTGGTACCAAAAAAACCCCCATGAAATTAGAAAAAGTATTGTTTTTGTTTTTTGTGGCTTGCAAGTTTATGTCAAGTTAAAGAAACATTTATTCCAAGAAATACTGGATACAGTATTTAAGACTCCAAACTATTGTAACATGTTAGAATAGTTAAGCTGTTTAGAACTTTTGAAACTCATGCAAAAATATCGTTGATCTGCTCCCACTGAATTAGTTTCTCATTTTCCCCCTTAAGTTTAGAAATACAATCACAAGAGTTACGTGTAGTTTATCAGATTTCATTCATGGTGGCGTGTGATGTAGCTTTCTCTCTTTGTTCTTATTTTCTTCATCAGATGGATTCATGATTCATTCCATACGTATTTTTTTCTGTATTCTACTACTATCCTGTAGAAATAGTTTTGAGCAACAAAAGCCAGCTTGTTATCAGATCACAATCCAGTAGTGTACATAGTAGAAATGATGCTTTCGAGGCAGGCAGCGGAACCACTGAGCTAAATCCCCAGCCCTATATGTGGTCTGTTTTAAGTTCACACACTGAATTAATTTTGAAAGTATAGATGCTTATGAGTAGGTAATAGTATGTTCTTGTGGTTTGAAATCAAAAGGCACCAAGGGATACCGAGTGAAATCTCGCTCTAGTCTCTCGTGACCACTCCTCTCCACACTGGCAGCAGGTGTTAAAATTCCCCCTGCCCTTCCAGAGACTTTCTCTGATATCCAAGCAAGAATGCGTGGTATTTGCCCTTGTTTTGCCCAGATGCCAAACTGTCCAGTTCTGTTCCTTGCTTTTCTTTCAGATGCAGCTTATAATTGAGCCATGTCAGTACACAAAGAACTTCTTCTTTCTTTCTTACAGCTGCCTGTTCTTTCATTGTATATTTGCACTGTGATTTACTTTTCCACCCTGTTTTTCTCTTCTGCCACCCTGTGCTGGGGATTGAACCCAGGCCCTTGCACATGCTACTTGAGCATTCTGCCCTGAGCTACAGCCACAGTCCTCCGGTCTACTCTTAGTGGAAGTCTAGGTTGCTTCAGATCTCGTGAAACAGTGGCACAGTGGACAGCGCCATGTACAGTATCATTAGAAGAGACTCCTTAGAGAGCAGCTGACCTCGTGCACTGACCACTGCCAGCTGCAGCCGCTCCGTTCACAGCATCACTTCCCCTTCAAGTTTGTCTGCAGCTTAAAGAAGACATATACATACAACTACGAAGAACAATAAATACATGAAACTGAAAACTGAAAGGCCAGCCTAGCAAGGTTTTAATCCCAACCCTGCTCTCTAGCTGTGTGGCCATGGGCAAGTTACCAGCCTCTCTGGGACTTGGTTTTTTCTTCCCTAAATGTATCTCCATCTCTGAATTATTACCAAGTAAGGCCTAAATATAGCCAGTTATTACTGTACTGCTTGCAAACAAAAGCCAGAATGTTCTATTTTTAAGACA